GGATCATGACCCGAGCCGAAGGCAGTCGCTTAACCAACTGAGCCACCCAGGCACCCCTGCCACCTCTTTTTGTATAGCTCATGAGCTAAAAATGGTACTTACATTTCTCGGTGATTGAAAAAAAATGAAAATATGGTACAACCTGTGAAAATTACATAAGATTACATTTTGTTGCCCATAGATGAAATCTCCCTGGAGCCTGGCACACCGTGGTGTAGCTGTGGACTGTGGCAGCTTTCATGCTGCAAGAGCAGGGTTGAGTCGTTGTGACAGAGGCTGTCTGGCCTCCAAAGCCTAAAATATTTGCCCTCTGGCCCTTTACAGAAACACTGCTGGGCCCTGATGTAGAGGTTAAGGGTGTGGACCGTGGAGCCAGACCACTGGGTTCAGAATCCTGGCTCTGCAGTTGACTGTGTGATCTTGGGCAAGTTACAGCTCTCCGTTTCCTCATCTATAAAATGGGAAGAGTGCTAGTACCAGCTCTCCGGGTTGTGGGGCTTGAATCAGCTTATATGTAAGTATATAGAATTGTGTCTGGAATATCGTAAGTGCTGTGAGCAATAATTGCTGCTGTTTACAGTGGAAGAAGTTTGCCAGCTCTCTCAGTCTGTCTGGGCTCCTATCATAGACCACCACGGACTGCGCGGCTTATGCACAACAGACATTTATTTCTCACAGTTCTGGAGGCTGGGAAGAACCAAGATGATGGTGTTGGCAGATTGTATGTGGTGGCTGATGCGGACCGCTTCCTCTTCCGTAGCTGGCGCCCTCTCTCCGTGTCCTCATATGGAGGAAGGAACTAAGGAGCTCTGGGGGGGAGGGGGTCTCTTTTATAAGGACACTAAGACTGTTAAAGAGGATTCACCCTCATGACCAAAGGGCCTCCCAAAAGGCCCCACCTCCAAATGCCATCACACAGGCATTAGGATTCCAGTGTATGGATTTTGGGGGGACACAAACATTCAGACCATAGCACTAACAGAAGTCATTGGTTCTTTTTTTTTTTTAAGCAGTTGTATTTCTTTTTTTTAAAGATTTCATTTGTTTATTTGAGAGAGAGTGCACATGAGTGGGGGGGTGCAGGGGGCCCCCCGGGAGGAGCAGAGGGAGAAGCAGGCTCCCCACTCAGCAGGGACCCCGATGGGGGTTTGGTTCCAGGACCCTGGAGTCATGACCTGAGCCGAAGGCAGACACTTAACTGACTGAGCCACCCAGGTGCCCCCA